CCCGGCGCCATCGGAGGTGTGCGTCGTTCGCTTCAACGAGACTGCGACGCTGTCTTCGAAAGCGCCTCGACCCTCGCGTCGAGACATAATTACTGATAGTAGAAGACTGTGCCGCAGTAATCGTTGGAAACGTGGGCGCGACCTATGTTGACCTCGCATCTTGTTCTGACGTCTGGTCTACAACTCTTGCGTGAGAGCTGATAGACATTCCACCGAGTTCAATGCGCGTGGTCCTGTCTGCAAGTGAGCAGCTGTGAAGCACTTCGCAGCGTGCGACCTGCCTCTGGCCAAGAATAACCGATGAAGCTCAAGGTTCGTCATACTGGTACGATGCCAGTTGAAATGCTTTCGTGCTCAGCCACCTGCAGCACAAGGGCCATTGGCCAAGCTCCTTGCGCTATTGGTCATAATCTGACCAATCCTGCTTTATTTTGGGGCGCAGCATATGTTGGTGTCCGATCACTGCGCTTTGTCCACGCGCGATTGGACTCTGCCCAGCTGAAATACATAAGTGGTCGCAAACTGCAACTTGACGTGCTGGCCAATGCTCTTCGACTAACACGCTAAACCTGATCTCTAAAAGTGGCACCCTCTTCGGCACGCGGTTTTAGGCAGCGACAACACTACATGCACTCGAAATCTAGACTTGTGCTGACGTTGCAAAGCCCATCTGTGCAAGATGCCCGCACTTGGAGCAAGCGCATTCTTGCAGTGCTAGCGCAGACATTTATTGCACATGGGCGTCAACTAAAACGACCAGCGGGGAGTAATCGGCTTGTCCAGTAGAGTGCACTACATGAAATATTTCGTGGTCCCGTCGCACGCTGGGGTATGATGTCTGGTATGTGTAGACGAGACACCGAATCTATAGCATGTGTGCGTTATCGCCAGCTGCGACGCAGTGTGCGGCTGCGATTCAAGGCATTGGATTGTTGCTCGAGGTGTCCTACACCGCGCGACCACGTGCCTGAGGACGACCACGGTTGCTATCAGTCGCGCAGAAGAGCGTCGAAATAATGGTGCGAACCATACGAAACCAAATCGAGCACTCGAGCCCTCCTGCTCACTTTTCAATTTGCAGCTCCATGGCCTTCCGCCTTCCTCTCGTTGCGCTCGCTACGGCGGCCGCCGCGCATGCCTCTGATGCCCCGCTGCCCGCTTGGGTCGAAGTCGCTCGTGGCTATAAGCAAGTTGCAGCGGACAACAATGTTGTGTGCCTCCTCGACGCCAACAAGCAAGTGTCGTGCGCTGCGCCGTCGACGGCCATCGCCCAGTGGCCCAAGCGCGACGGCGAGTGGTCCACGATCGCTGTCGGCGGCAACTCGGTCGTCGAGTACAGCTATGCGAACGGCACGGCTGTCGTCTCAGACATTACCACCGGCACGTCGGTCGAGATTTCGACCAGCTTTGCCAAGCACGTCGCGACCAACGGCGACATCTTTTGCGCCCGCGAGCAAACGACTGGTGCGCAGAACCACATCTCGATGAAATGCATGCCGTACACCGACAAGTTTGGCCAGCAGCAGTGGAAGTACCAAGAGGCCCAGAAGCACTATCTTGCCTTCCACGCCGGTGCGTCGACGGTGTACGCTCTCGACAAGGTCAACAACTTGCACGTTGGCGCGACGGCCGAGATCGCGTCCGGCGAAGTCAAGTGGACCGATGTCAAGAGCCCGGGCTTCTCGCAGATCGCGTTCAACGGCGAGCGTGTCTGCGGTATCACGGCCGACACTAAGCAGATCCAATGCAGCGTCGGCTTGCTCAAGAAGCGCGTCCAGTGGGCCGACGCGCTCCCGGGCCGCTCGTGGATCAGCCTCGCGCAGAGCAACGGTCTTCTCTACGCTGTGGACGAAGAGGGCGTGCTCTACGTCAATGGCATGCCCGAACCGACGCCGGCGCCGACGACCCCCGAGCCGACGACCGCGGAACCGACCCCGGAGCCGACGCCCGCGCCGACCCCCGCGCCAACGCCCGAGCCGACGAAGGATCCGGCCCCGACGACGTGGGTCGAAGTGGCGCGTGACGGCAAGCAAGTGGCCGCCGACAACGACTACGTCTGTCTCCTCGACACGGCCAAGCAGGTGGCCTGTGCCACGGCGCCGTCGATGACGGCCAAGTGGGTCAAGCGCGACGGCAAGTGGTCCACGATCGCTGTCGGTGGCAACTCGCTCGTCGAGTACAGCTACACCAAGGGCAACGCCGTCATCTCGGACATCAAGAACAACTCCTCGGTCGACGTTTCGGTCGACTTTGGCTCGCACGTCGCGACCGATGGCGAGACATTCTGTGCCCGCGAGCAGAAGGACAAGAGCCATATCTACATGAAGTGCCTTCCGTACACGACCAAGTTTGGGACGCAGTGGAAGTACCAGGAGGCCCAGAAGCATTACTTGGCCTTCCACGCCGGTGCGTCGACGCTCTACGCCCTCGACGAAGTCCACAACCTCCACGTCGGCGCCACCGCCGAGATCGCGTCGGGTGCCGTCAACTGGGCCGCTGTCAAGAGCCCGGGCTTTTCGC